GTTCATTCCCAGGAAGAAGTGGTCCTCGACCCACCCGAGTGGAAATTTCGAAATTAAGGTCTCCTCGGGCTCCCCATTCTCTTCTTGACCATAAGGTCGTACAACAAGTCGACAGCCTCGTGCGACACGGGATTCACGATATAAAACCTATCCTTAAAGGAGCGGACATAATCCTGGTACGTCTGGAACAACTTCCTCGGCTGTTTCAAGGATACCCAATTGTGCCTGCCTTCGAAAGATTAACGCTGAAGGTGGAAGGTGCAGAAGAACAGGGGAAGTGTGGCTCCAATACAAAGATATTCGCAGATGATCTCAAATTCCCGCATGAACACTATGGCATTTGGGTGCAGTTGTGAGGGGGTCAGGCGAAGCCACCGAAACACTCCCCCCCTAAAAATTGCTAAAGGGGAGACGGATCCCTGCTTCATGAAATAAAAACTCGTACATAGAGAACCTCATCTCCCTGAAACTCGAGCAGATGCGATGTCTTTCCTTGGGTTTAAAGACCATTCAGCTCATGTAGGAACCTTCTAGACATTCCTCGATAGTGGCAAAAGCGTCTGTATCATCGAAGGCGAAGCATGGCGCTATAGTGAGAGGTTCCTGCCTGACCCAGTCCGCGGGCGTGCAAACTGGTTCAGATCCTTCGACCTCAACGATATTTTTGGGCTCAGACTCGTGGTTAATATAGATGAAGCCCTCAATTCGTACAAGCATTTTGCCTGAAAAGCAAAGGAAAACGGTGAATTCGACTCCAAGATCAAATCCACCCTCCCACCACAAATCAAGTGAAAGAGTGAAGGAAGGGAAGAGGAAGCCCGAAACCAGGGGCCCTCCCTCGAAGGAGGCTCTTCCAAGAAGAAACCTCGACGAAAACTCTACGCGGAAAGCCACCCCGACAGCGAGGCTCCCAATTGGGATGGCCCCGACACACGCGGGGAGACCATGAGCAAAACTCCCCCATGATAGCCTCACACTGGCGAGGAGCAAAGCTCTTCGAGGTGTTCATCCTAGCTCCCCAAGATCTTCATCGTAGGTCCCTGGGACATTCGTCGACAACTTCATGAAGATCCTGGAAATCCTCATGAATTTCCTGACGTCCTCGCTGGAAACTTTATGCTTCGACCAAAAAATTCATGCTGCCCGTTGAAAACTTTGTGTTGCTTGCCGGAATATTCATAGCTTTCTAAGAAAGTTCATGAGAGTCGCCAGAAAATTCATAACACTACAAAAAGAAAGTGAAACTTACTTGTGGGAGAAGGATCTAGACGACGGAGCTCGGTGACGGCAACAGAAGCAGCGTGACGGCAAGAAGAACTTGGAGAGGATTCCGGCAGATATGAAGAGCAAATGTGTAAATGAGGAAGGCCTCCCCCTATTTATAAGCCTAGCACAGGAAGCGACGCAACAATAGACACTTAAATGCCCCTACGCGCAGCCACCCCTAGGCATTAATTACACGTGACACGTGGCACTAGGGGACACCACGAGTGTCCTTCCAGCTTCCCCTCGTGCCTGGAGACCAAACACGTCCATTTGCTTTTCCACCTCCCTAACATACTGCCTTGTCGAGCATCTGTCACTCCTGGTCGTGCGTACAACCCTTAACTCTGAATGTCGGGCAAGCCACCATTCTCTAAACTGGTCCTCGACACCCTAAATCGTTCTTAAGTCACTACTCCTACATTTAGGAGCAACGACTTAGGTGCTCCTGTTCTGGAATGGGCCAAGACCTTCCCCTCAGTCGGGCAGGCCCAACCCAATACTACTTTGGGGAGGCCCAATCCTCCCATGTCAGACACGCCTCTCAACAAGTCCCCCCAGTCGGGAAGGCCACTACTTGGCGCGAGGAGATCTCACACGCTTTCCCTACGTCCTCCACGTGTTCCCCATGCGGGGACACATCATCAAACAACTACCCACCTCCGAAAGAGATGGTCAGCCCACCTTTCAAAGATCACGAGACAGTTGATCTAGTGAAAAGACCATGTGCTGGTCTTCCCTACGCGACATAAGCCCTAACAGTTACTTGTGTTGGGCTTAGTAACTCGGCCCAATGCAATGTAGCTGTTGGCCCTGCGCTTGGGGCATATTATAAATACCCTCTTTCATTAGAGGGTCAGGTATTCTATTCTCTACACATATTCTCTCTGTACTTGCGCTTTCTAACTCTGTTACTCACTTAAGCATCAGAGTACCTTGCAGGTACACCCTCTCCTCCTCTATAACACTCGTGAATATAGGAGCTTATGATGCGTGACAGGCAGTTGATTCCTTTCTGATCAGATGAGATCAATTACCATAGGCTTAATCAAGCTACGAGGAAAGATCATTTCCCTTTACCTTTCAAGGACTAAATGCTCGAGAGATTGTCTAGTCAAGAATTTTATTATTTTTTGGATGGTTATTCGGGTTACAATCAAATCATAGTCAATCCGGAAGACCACGAGAAAACGGTTTTTACATTCCCCTTTGGTATCTTTGCTTATCGAATAATGCATTTTGGGTTATGTAATGCACCAACTATTTTTCAACGGTGTATGCAAGCTATTTTTTCTGACTTAATCGAGAAATTCATCGAAGTGTTTAAATGATTTCCCTGTTTTCGGTCTGTCATTTGATCTATGTTTGAAGAACTTGGATACCGCGTTAGGAGGATGTGTGGAAACCAACTTGGTCCTCGATTGGGAAAAATGAAATTTCATGGTTACGAAAGGTATTGTGCTCGGCCATAAAGTATCCTCCAAAGGCCATGAAGTTGATCAAGTGAAAGTTGAAGTCATGGTTACAGAAGGTCTATTCTACCGCATTCTAGACTGATTTGACTGATATGAAAGGGAGTTTTTGCCATCTTTTCAAGGGTTCTGCATTTGAAGACTGAAAGTGACGGTACAAAGGACTAAGAAGGCGATTTTGAGAGCATTGAAAGCCATTGGAGGCCAATTCTTCTAGGATTTTCAGATGTAATATTCATTTAATCAATTGGTTTTTGATTGTATCGTTACGAGTAGCTAAATATCTCTAAGTTAGGTTTTGTTTGATAAACTTATTTTGAACATGTTAGGACATACATTTAATTTGTCATTGCATGAATAATTGAAGTTATATTTCTATTTAATTGCTTAATTTACTTAATATTTTTTATGTGAGATACTCTTTTAATCTGATCTTAGGCATATAAGAAATACTGACAATTATCCAATGTGATAGAACTAGGGCAATCGTTGTACTTACGCTGGTTGAATAGAGATTAGAGATCTCAAGTAGTGGCAGTTGAATTAACGTTATATTACATCACCTAGTTTCACTTATACTGGTTGAATAGGGATAGGAGATCCCGAGTGGTAATTATTGAGGTATACACCAAAGGATTGGGTATATCGATTGTGTTAATTTGTTGTGAAAATATAATAATTTCTCATTCATGTAATGCATTAGACATCAATCGGAGAGAAATAAGGGATTCTATACAAAACCTGACTGTTTTTTTATTAATTCAGAACAACTTTTATTTTCTCGCATTCAAACTCAACCCCTCAATCGTTACTTTTTATAAATCCACAACTATTATCTTGTTAAATAATAGTTCATGTAAAATCGATGTCTTTTTATTACTGCGACATTATCGATACATTTGCCGAGAAGTTATCAGCAAGCGATAAGACACAAATGAATCCTATTATATATTGAACAAAGAAAAAATCCTATTATATATTGAACAAAGAAAAATTAATATTTTTTTTATGAAAAACTAACGACATAGACCATTTCAAGTAATAAAATAGTTTTTAAGAAGCTAAGTAACTTATTTTAAATAATAAAATAGTTTTTAAGAAACTATTTAATAATCTTTTTTAGTTAAACTGCTAAAATAAAATATTAAATTAAGTTAAGAGATTTTATATTATTTTAATAAAAAATAATATCTTAAATATATATTAGTATATTTATATTACTTCTTATTTTCATTTTGCAATGCAATAATAATTATTATCTTTTTAATTGTTATATAATTATTATTAGGTACATTATTTCTAATACATTAATAAGACAAATTTAATAAAATTATAATATCTTGAGATAATATCCTGTAAAAAAAAACTTTAAACCACACTTATTTTAAAATGGAAGGAGTGGTTAATTAATGTAGAGCATATAAATTAAAAACAGATGGTTGCAAAATGATGATTTATGATTGAATGAAGCACTAGTTAATTCATTTTGAAGTGGAAGAGACAGATGAGACAGCGATGAAAATTTGTTAACGGGTGGACCAGTTTTGAACGTGGAAGACCTTTGATTTGGAGTATTTCACCAATGTTTGTTCGTATTCCTTGTACCCATTGATCATTTATTCCTTATTAATTAATATATTTTTTCTTTTACAAAAATAACTCTTCAAAGTATTACAAAGGCCAATCAAGTGCAAAATCTAAAATTCTTAATTAATACTGAGAGGCAACAAAAAAGGATATGGAATTTTCATTAAAGTACTATACTTTAGTATTGAGTAATATTTTTCTTATAATAAAATAATAAAATAATAATGATAACAATCGATAAACACCAAGGAACATAGTTAGAATTTCCGCATATACTACTTTATAAGAATGAAGAAATATTAAAAAAATTAAGAAATGAACGTAGGCAAAAAGAAAAATAAAAGCCATAATAAAAGCGAAAAGAAAAAGAAGTGCCCGTTAGAAAAAATTTCAAATAATAGACAACAACATTTTTTTATTAAATAATTAATAAAAATTAACGGTTTCCATTTTTTCCTCTGAATTTCTCGCTGTTTATCAATTCTGTTACAGAGTTTGAATTTCGAATCTTCTTCTCATGTTTTCCAACGCTACACGGTAATCCATCGTCTTCTTCCTCCATTTTTTTCTCGCCTTTTCTTTTTCATGAATCATGAATCAATTGTATATTCATTTTCTATTGATTTTCGATTTTGTTTTCTGTTTTGTTTGAATTTGATTCAATTTCATGAAAAATAGATGATGTTGCCCATTGCTGAAGCCGATGAAGAAGATCATAACAATTTGTTAAAAGATGTTGAAACTATAACAAAAAGGCTTTCAAGGAATTCAACATCATTATCATTATTCAAATCCATAGAAAATGATCCAAATTCAAAGCATGATAAAGAAGATAACAATTCGAAAAAGGATAAGAAATCATCTATATGGAGTTGGAAGTCATTGAAAGCACTTTCCTTGACCAAAAGTAAGAAATTCAATTGTTGTTTTTCTCTTCAAGTTCATTTGATTGAAGGATTACCTTTGAGTTTCAATGATTCAACCATTTGTGTGCATTGGAAGAGGCGCGATGAACATTCGGTTACTCCTCCTGCGAAAGTGATCCAAGGTGTTGCCAAGTTTCAAGATATTTTGAACTATACTTGTTCGATTGTTGGAAGTAAAAGTGGGTTTAACGATTCTGCTAAGTATGAAGCTAAGCATTTTTTGCTCTATGCTTCTGTGCTTGGTGTTCCGGAAATTAATTTGGGGAGTCATCGTTTGGATATCACGCGGTTGCTTCCACTTTCGTTGGAGGATCTTGAAGAGGAGAAAAGCTCGGGGAAATGGAGTACGAGTTTTAGGTTATCTGGAAAGGCGAAAGGTGCTGTGATGAATGTGAGTTTTGGGTATATGGTGGTTGGTGATAACAGTAGTTTGGCTCCTAATGTGTTGACTTCAAGGCAAAATTGTATGGCTCTGAGCGAAACGGATGTGAATCAATGTCAGTATCCGGCTCGGGTTATAGATGAGGTGAAGGAACTTCATGAGGTATTGACATTGACAAAATCAGCAATGGCCAGTTCAAGGAATACCTTATGTAAGAAACTTGATGACGAAGACGCATGTAGTCCCCTACACAAGAAAGATGAACCTTTACTAAAAGAGAATCTCGAGCCGGTCAAATTTGATGTGTTTCAAGAAAACTTGGAGCAGGTTGAGTCTTTAAAAGAGAAATTTTATGAATGTGAATATAATGGATTTTCTGTTGTTAATCATGGTGTTGGATTTTCACCAAATGAACATGTTAAAGTGGAGGAATCTATTGTAGAAGCTAGTGTTGATAGTTCTAAGGATAGCTCTGTGGTACATGAATTTTCTGACAAAAGCATTGAGTTATGCACGAAAGAACTTCTCATGCAAGAAATAGAATCAGCTTTAAATAGTGTCTCGGAGTTAGAGACAGCCGCACTGGAATCTCCTAAAGTTATGGAAGTCATATCTGAATGTAAATTCAGTCAGTCACTCTGCTTGGATGATGCCACCGAACAAATTGCCAGTGAATTTTTGAGTATGCTAGGTGTAGACAATAGCCCAACAGGCTCTAGTTCTGAGAGTGAGCCCGAATCTCCGAGAGAGCGCCTTTTAAGACAGTTTGAGAAGGAGGTTGGATCTGAGGGCTTCTCTTTATTTGACGTGGACATAGGTTATGATGATGATGAAGACGAAGGAGATTATGGCGGTTATGATGCTTCTTTTGAATTTGAGCAGGGGGAATTCTCTACAGGTATTACGCCACCATCTTTGTTGCGTGATCTGCAGAAAAGGCTTGAATTTGATGATGTGAGGAGAAAACCAAAGGGCCAGATACTTGAAGACTTGGAAACAGAAGCCTTAATGCGTGAATGGGGTTTCAATGAGGAAGCTTTTCAGCATTCTCCACCAAAAGGCTTTGCTGGTTTTGGAAGTCCAATACATCTACATGAAGAACATTCTAGATTACCTCCTCTGGCAGAAGGGTTTGGTTCTTTCCTCAAAACAAAAAATGGGGGATTTCTAAGGTCTATGAATCCGTCACTTTTTATGAATTCTAAAAATGGTGGGAGCTTAATCATGCAGGCTTCCAACCCTGTTGTTATGCCTGCAGAAATGGGTTCGGGGATAATGGAGACATTGCAGTATATGGCATCAGTCGGAATTGAAAAGCTTTCGATGCAGGCAAACAAGTATATGCCTCTGGAAGACATCACAGGGAAGACAATGCAACAAATATCGTGGGAAGCCATGCCACGCTTAGAGGGAAAAGACAGGTTTGTCTATTCTTTTATATTAGTAAACAAACTCGTGTTAGGTTATGGATAATCATTTCTTTAAAATGTTTCCTCGATTGATCAAATTTTCACGGCTCTATGTAGGCAATGGCATTTGCAACATGGTTTGGTTACGGATAAAGGTTCTACCTGCGTGCAAAGGGACATGAAAGGATTGCCGTCTAGACTAAAGTCTGATGAGTTTACTTCAAGTTCAATTGGCAACCAGGGAGGTTCGGGTTTTTTTTCATTGGAAGATCTTGCTCCTTTAGCTATGGATAAAATTGAAGCACTTTCAATGGAGGGTTTAAAAATACAATCTGGGATGTCGGAAGAGGATGCGCCATCAAACATCATTGCACAACAATCCTTTAAAGATCCTCCTGGTCTCCAACACAAGGGGGTTAACATCGGTGGTTCTTTTGGCCTGGATGGAGCTGCTGCTTTGCAGTTGTTGGATATTAAATGCAGTGTTGATGAAATTGATGGGATAATGGGATTATCATTAACTCTTGATGAATGGATGAGACTGGATTCAGGTGAGATTGATGATATAGATGATATCAGTGAGCATACTCGCAAACTTCTTGCTGCACATCATGCCAACTCTTTCGATGTAGTTCGTGAGAGTTCAAAGGGAAGGAAGAAACATAGCAAAGGTCATAGCAGGAAATGCGGTTTGCTGGGAAACAATTTCACAGTAGCACTAATGGTGCAACTTCGTGATCCTCTAAGAAATTATGAACCAGTCGGAATATCAATGCTTGCTCTTATACAAGTCGAGAGAGTGTTAGTCCCACCAAAACAAAAGATTTACTTGACTGTGTCCGAGGTAGGGAACAATAGTGATGAGGATGATGAGTGTGAAATAAAAGCAAAGCTAGACAAGAACGAAAACAAAGAGGAGAAAAGTACTAAAGAAAGTGGCATTGCTCAGTTCAGGATTACAGAAGTCCATGTTGCAGGTCTTAAGAAGCTTCTGGGTACATCAAATAAGCAAAAGTCTGGTTCCCGTTGGTTGATTGCAAATGGAATAAGCAAAAGCAACAAGAATCCATTGATGAATTCTAAGGCTGCTGCTAAATTTGGTTCTCAGGCCAACACCACAAAAGTGCAACCCGGAGACATATTATGGAGTCTATCATCTCGTATTTTTGGTACTGGCACAAAGGAATCAGGAGTACTCAATCCACATATAAGAAATCCCAATATCATTATACCAAAATGAATCTATAATAGGTTGACTAGTGAATGTAGATATATTTTTGTAAAGGGCCTGTCTTTACGAGAGGCAGTGTTTGAAGTTGCTTCTTTATTTTAAAACCAATGTCATGTATTTTATCTAGAAATATAAACTGGATGGCCAATACATACCAGCAAATATAAAATATCGCATATAGAAAGTCCAGCATTCAAACTTTCTATATAGAGAATTGAAAAATTAACATTTTAGAAATTAGAAATCAATAAACAGAAATCAACATCACTGTCTCAGCCTGAATTAGTAAGAAAGACAAGAACCCATTCTTTAATAGCGGCATAAATAACAGTACATACAGGTGTATATATGGATTTAATAAATTATTATTCTACATGAAACTTGTCGAATTTGATTAGGCATCCAAAATGTGAATGATGTACAGTATAGCAAAAGGAACTGCAAATTGTTTGAGCATCTTCCAAGTTCTGAAAACCACAATCCAACCAAAATTGTCCAATAAAACAGCCTGAAGTGACGCGGCATGTCCCAGCAGGAAACATCTTTTCACAGAAGGCTCTTCCGGGCTGCAACTTCAAAGGGCAGAAACTGTTTGAATCCTTAGTTAGCCAATTAGTATCATTGCAATAATCTAATGTCAGCCAATCACCTAGCCCCAGCATCTGACAGCAGTATTAAAACATCAATTAAGAATTGAGCAAATGAAAATGTTAGCAGTTAATGCTAAAAAGGGGATGATAAACTATCGAAACAATACCGGGGTGATAAACTATCGATTCAATTGACAAATCACAAAGGGAGAACCCAATAAAAAGAGGAACAGACAAAAAAGAAGGAAAACCACACCAAAAATAAAAGTTGTGCAATTAATTAAGCAGAAGCTATCCCACTTTCTTAACCCATCCATTTTAGTTTGGAAACACGGCATGAAAAGAAAAATACCGTTTCCATTGGGGGATGATCTGTCTTCATTTTTCTCTGGAGCATGTTGTTCAAGAAACTGTTGAACTGTTCTCCAGTAATGATCGCCACCAGTCAGCCAAGTATCCATATGCATGCCGGTGGGAAACTCCACAAAAAGACACTGGTTATTACGAGTAGCTGCCTTAGCATATAGCATTTGCATATGTGATGAGGGGACCATCTCATCTTGCAATCCAGAAAGAAAAAGGATAGGCTGCTTGATCTGCAATTAAACACAATAATAAAAAGGTAATGCTCAAATCCGTGAATCCAGTCAGAATTATAAATGAAATAAAACAATGCAAACTTTCTTTCTAGAGACAAAATAAATTAAAAGATTCAAATTAATATCCTTAAAAGTCATCTGTCTGTGTTGATTATGCAAAATCTAATTCATTATGCCCAAGTAGCATAATCCTAATCAGAGGAGCAGAAAATTAAAGAGAAGAAGTTGGTAATAGTATCCATCATCCCTCACCTCGCCAACAACATCAATAGTACTCCATGGAGAACGTACAATAAAATTGAGTAGCTTCGGACCTTTTGAACCGCTACCTCCAATAACCCACTTCAAAAAAGGTAACAAAACTCCGGCCATATCCAATATAGATGTAAAAGTGTTTTCAAGTATCAGTCCAGCAACCTAAAATGTAGAAAGGTCAACAAAAAATTGTAGATTAAGAGGTCCAAAAGCAAACAATTGCTAATAATAACACTACAGGGATGTCTAGCTATATTTCTGAGATGAAGATTGCACCAAATCAGTCTTCATTTTTATTACTCACCCTAAACTAGTTTCAATTCCCAAAAGTAGTTCTACATAAGAAAGTTGTCAAAATAAGAAAGCTCTGAACAAGTTGCAGGTAAAAGCCTCTGCTTGAAGTGTCACTTCATCAAATACACATCAAAGCAATCAAGGAAAATTTTCCATACCCAAACCAGGAAAATAATATGGAATTATTTTGAAAACAAAATTTTAGAGTAAATTTTTGTAGCTCTTAAATTTTACATGAAAAAATGTAATTTTATAGAAAAATCATGCTGATACTTCTCAAAAACCTGTGCTAAGAATCTTATTTATGCTTTATGGAAGGCGAAGAGAATTATGCTTGTAAGTAAAATGCTTCGTGATATAAAGATGACATAAAGAAAAAAAAGCTCAAGTAAGGGATTCCTTTATAATTTTGCAACATAAGAGCATCGGACAAAGGCTTCTTATGCATAACTAATCCATACTCTTATTCAAGGAATTGATTGATAGCAATGATTTTCTTTAAAAGCAAAGTCATACTAACAAATCTACAATCTTAATAGGAACATATTTTTCCTAGGCATGTGTACTGGAGAGAGAACAATAAAACTAGCACACTCAATAAATCTAAAACAAGGTTGATTGATTCAACAAGCCCAAAAATTTTTCTCACATGTTTATAATCTTTAGTTAAGTTATCTATCTACGACAAGAGAAACCTTAGAAAGTAGAAATTTGGAGTTACATTATAAAACCCTGATATATGCAGTCACTTATTTGTGAACCCAGCTAATCATATAATGACTTGTGTATTAATTCATATAGTATTGACATTCTATAGGAACACTATCTAACCAGGAAGACAACTTAAATTTTAAAAAAGAATATATCAATTTTCTCCAAGGAGAGCATGAAAACTGATCTACTTAGTACACCAAAGGTACCTTGTCAGGGTTATTTCTTGTTAGTACAGCTCCAACTGCACCGCCAAGTGATCTTCCAAATACAACTATTCTAGATGTATCGATATCAGACCTCTGAGAAAGATGATCCAATGCAGCCTGGGCACAAGGAGGTAATAAAATTGAAGAAATTGCAATAAAGAAGTCTGAAGACCAATAAATAGACAAGGGTATCAATCAAACAGCATACCTGAGCATCCTTAATAATTCCCGGCTGAGAAGGATAGCCTTCACTTGCTCCATAACTGTAAAATCAAATGACGCCTCAGTGCCAATTTCGTCATAAAGTAGCATGTAAATTTCGCTCAAATGCATGAATCTGATAACACAGCTGTTTATAAAAGTTAAAAAAGATTAAGGTGTCGAGGCAGACACATACCCACGGTAAGAAAGCATGAAAACATTGCATTGTAACTTGTCCAACATAATGCGAACCATTTCAAGGCGGTGAGCAATATCTAAAAGTCAGTGGTCAAGGCCTTCAAAAGCATATTGAACCTGATCATGTAAATATAGATAATATGAAACAATAATCACAACCTAACTCTTAATATCTACAACAACCAGGATACTTCCAGCATTTTCTTGAAAAAACAAGATGGTAGGTCCTGCCAACGGAAAATAAGAAAGAAAAACTACATTAGTACAACATACATACATGAATCACATTACACAGTTCAAAGAGCACATGTGTTTTCATAGCAATTAGCAAATAAGCATCACAACTACTAATGAATTAATCATCATTTCAGTCCTCGAAATTGTAGCAGTCAAGCAATTTAGCCACTCAAGTTTACTAAATAGCAAATTAGTCCCTCTTTCAAAACTCCCAGGGGTTGACATGTTGGTGAAGACTTGGGTCCTGAGAGTGTTTCTCTCAAGGTCTTAGGTCCGAATTCCACTAGGTACAAACAATTCCTATGTTTTCCCAGTTCATACAGGCTTTAAATGGAAACCCCGCACGTGGACGGTGAGATTGGTCCTCTTGGATTAGTCGGTTGCATGGTAGGATACCAAGCTTAAACCCTCTTTCAAGATATATTTTTTGTAAACATCCATCAAAAGACAAACATAAAAGGATTAAAATTGGGGTGCTAAATTTGAAGAAATGGCTAAATTGATTGACATTATTCAGTTTGAGGGACAAAATTACGGACTAACAATTACAATTTCAAGGACTAAATTGCTGAATTACTCTACTAATGTATCACAATTTTGAAAGATGAACCTCGATTCAATTATTAAAGTGTTCAAATCATTCAATCCTCACCAAACGATAACCTATTCCCTTTCGATCTACACTCATCCAAAGCAATTTTAATTCCAATTCAAATAACAATTCATAGAAATGAAAAACCAAATAACCGAAACTTAACACCAGATCGAAATTGAGAGAGAGAGAGAGAGAGAGAGAGAGAGAGAGAGAGAGAGATGAAAATTTTCGGAACCTCTGAAGTCAGGGAAAAGCTTGATGAACCAAGCGTGAAGCCGAACGCCATCGGAAGAAGAGAGCCAGACATCTTCGTAAGTGAGTCTCAGACGAGAGGGATTGATAGAGTAGGATTTGGTGAGTCCCGGCAACACCGGAACGTAAACGAGCTTCTCCTGAAACGCCACGAGCAATGCCATACCGGCGACGACTAACCCTCCGACGCCATAGAGCAAGATGTTGATGTACGAAACCATTTTGTGGATGGTGAAAATAAGCGCGTTTGGGTTAAGCGGAAAAGTGAGTAGTGGTAGTTAGATTTTGGGGTTTAAAATTGAAATTTGATTAAATCGTAGTAGCGTCGGTATTCGCTGAAATTCCAAAAGTCAAGTGGGACTGGGTGGGTTGTTTCCTTTCACTCTTTTCCTGTTACTTCGCACAGCTAAACGGTTGTTTATGTTAATGTATATTTCAATTCCGTGAATGTTAATATATTTCAATTGATGGAATGAAATAAGATAAACTTAAATTTTATTGTTTGGATTGATTAAAAAAGATTGAATAAAATGGAATCGGATGAAATGCATTATATTATATTCCATCACTTTCTATTATTTTTTGTACCTTTCAATTTGGGAAAACAAAATATCTACCACTATTGTTTAAATATTATAAAATGAACGGATCAGAATGAAATGGAGCGGAATTGAGTAAAACGGAGCGAAATAAAATAAAGATATTGTTCTATTGTTTTGGTATTTCACTATGGAATATAGAGATTTTGTTATTCCGTCCAAATCAAAGAATACAAAAAATGATAGAAAGTGATGGAATAGGATGAAATGCATTTCATCTGAATCCGTTCCATTCCATCATTTTTTAATCAATCTAAACAATAGAACTT